CAGGGCTGGGCAGAGGGAGCAGCTGAGCTGTGATACAGTCTCAAGAGAGGTCTGAGCAGCCCCTGCAGGGAGTTCTAAAGATGGGATGACCCTTCAGAACTGCCCCCAGTGGGGTGAGAGGGCCAGGCTTTTACAGCTGTGCATCAGCCAGTTACTGGATGCAGGTGCCCCAGGGAGGGGACAGAACCTCAGGCAAGGTGGCTCCCTTCAGCTGAGGCAGGCCCAAAAAGGTACAGACAGCTCAGGGCTGTGCTGGCAGCCTTGCCAGCAGCTGGGGGTGAAAGTCCTTCATTCTTGAAGGGGAATCTTAGCAGACAGCATCTTGGGAAAGTGTAATGACCTCTCTGTGCCTCAGTATCCTTATCTGCAAAATGGGTTCAAGAGACCAACTTCACAAGGTTGGTTGAGGGTGAAGTGAGATGATAAATATAAAGTGCCCACATTTGAGCCTGGCACATAGTAGAGGCTCAACTAATGTTAGCTAGCATCATTATTTTAATTTACAAGGTGGCAGATGGAGGCGGTGGAGGATGGCGTTAAGAGTCGGACTCTGAAGTTCAACCACCTGGGGGAGTCCTGGTTCTCCTGGAAATTGACTTTGTGTCCTCACTTTACCTCTCAGCTTCATTTCCCTCTGAGATAACGTGGATAATAACAGGACCTGCCTCATAGGTGAGTTGGGCAGATTAAATGGCATGGTAACACTGTCTGGCACCAGTGAACCCTGGATAAATGTTAGCTACTGCTATCACAGTGATTATAATTTGCCCCACTGCAATTTACTGGGATTACCTTGGGGTGGTAATGAGGTACATATTTGGGGAGGGGATGGCTAAGTGAACTGAACATTACTTAGAGGCAAATTTATATACAGAAACGGCTCAGGGCCAAGGGCTGCAGCATGGCCTGGCCCTGCTGCACATGAAGAAAGTTTTGGAATATAGAGAAGCATCTCTTAACAAGAGTGCAGGGGTAAAGAGCACAGACTGGTTCAAATCCCAGCTCTGCCACGAACTGTGTGATCTTGGACAAGTAATTTCACCCCACTGGGCCTTAGTTTCCGTATCTGTAAAACAGTGGAGATGATAAAACCTATTTCATAGCATTGTTGAAAGTATTAACTAAGTAAGTATTTGTCATGTGCTTAGAACAATACCTGGCACCTGCAAAGCACTAGATAGTAATGTGTTTCTTTCCACGGACAAATGAATTTGAAAAAATATATATGTAAAGTGCCAGCACAGCAATTTACCAAATAACAAGTAGCATTTTAAATCCGCAGGGCCTTGATAATTTCTACTAATGTGTTTGTTGGTCTAGTGGAAATACAGGAAAATCAATAGCAACAATGACAGCAGGTAACAATTGCAGAGCAACTGTCCGTCAGTCCCTGTGCTGAGAGCTTCGTACACCTTGAGTTACTTAATTCTCACCGTGACCCCATGAGGAAGGGAGGTACTAGTTAAGGGAGGTACCAGTTTACCCCACTCTAGAGATAAGGAATCCTAGATCCAGAAAGGCTAAGTGACAGCTCCAGATTCAAACCTACATCTCTGGGACCCCAGAGGCTATGCATACCCACTGCAGAGGTTACCCCACTCCAGTGGTTACGTCCCTGAGCACCCACCATGCACGGGTCACTCACGGAGCAAGGGCATCAAACATCCCCTTTGATCCTACGCCATCCTACACATGGCGTGCCAGGGCTGCTGGGGTTTGTTTGTTTGTTTTTGAGACAGAGTTTCACTCTTGTTGCCCAGGCTGGAGTGCAATGGCGCGATCTCGGCTCACTGCATCCTCTGCCTCCCAGGTTCAAGCTATTCTCCTGCCTTAGCCTCCCAAGTAGCTGTGATTACAGATGTGCGCCACCACGCCTATGTAATTTTGTAATTTTAGTAGAGACGAGGTTTCACCACGAGGTTTCACCATGTTGGCCAGGCTGGTCTTGAACTCCTGACCTCATGTGATCCACCCGCTTCGGCCTCTCAAAGCGCTAGGACTACAGGCATGAGCCACCGCGCCTGGCCAGGACTGCTGGTTAAATGTCTTCTCAAGGTTCTTACAGCAGGGACAGGACAAAGCCTCCCCTGGAATCCAGGCTTCCTGATTCCTACTCCAAAGCTCCTCCTGTTCACCAGGGCTTAGAAAACTACAGCTAACCAGCCATATCTTGCCTGCAGCCCTTATTTGTGAATAAAGTTTTATTGAAACACAGCCAGATGCATTCCTTCACCTGCTGTCTGTGGCTGCTTTGTGCTATCACAGCAAAGGTATGAGGAACTGTGACAGAGACTGCCAGGCCCACATGCCTAAAATAACTGGCCCTTGGCAGAAGTCATCTGTCCATCCCTGCTGTACCCCATTAATTTCTCCATGTTTGACAAATGGAATTAATTAAAGGGAACAGCATCTGTGATGCTGACAGCATGGAGGAGAAATAAATGTTTTAGAGGGTTGTTTTACATCACGTGGGGACAAAAACTGCCAGAGTGTTTTCTAAAGATTACTGAAACCAACAACATATCTGGGCTTTAAAAATACTGAGGTATTTATTTATTATTTTTACTTTTTGAGATGGAATCTTGCTCTGTTGCCCAGGCTGGCGGGTTCAAGCAATTCTCCTGCCTGAGCCACCCAAGTAGCTACGACTACAGGCTTATACCACCACTTCTGGCTAATCTTTGTATTTTTAGTAGAGACGGGGTTTCACCATGTTGGCCAGGCTGGTCTTGAACCCCTAACCTCAAGTGATCTGCCCGCTTCGGCATCCCAGAGTGCTGGGATTACAGGCATGAACTACCACACCCGGCCAATATTGACGTTTTTTAAAAATATGTTTCGTGCATCAGAAAACAGATCAACCGTGCGGAAACAACCGGCGTACTGAATGGGAAACATTCAAGAAGGAAACATTCCACGGCAAATGCTTATGGCCAGGCCACAGCCACCTGTGCTTGTAACAACGCTTGGATATTGTGGAGCAGGGGTGGGAGACTCAGGACAGTAACTCACTGCCTCATGTGCCCTCCTAAGTAGCGCCTAGTATGGGCCTGGCACACAGTCCAGATTCATAAACATTTGTTCATGGAAACGAAGTACACAAAACTCCTCCGTGGCTAGGTATTGGTTTATCAGGTAGGAGTTTCATTATTAACAAGACCAACCAACATTCGCTTGGTAGTAGTTTGGTGTCAGGATCCGCAAGGGCCATCATCACATACCCTCCTTACAATCACCCTCTTGGATGGTGTTGTCAACAGCTTCTCTGAAGCAGTAATTCCCCAGACCCCTCTTCCTCGCCGGCAGAAGATGGAGGTTGAAAACAGCAAAAGCCAGCCAGCCGCGGTGGCTCATGCCTATAATCCCAGTACTTTGGGAGGCCAAGGTGGGCAGATCACTTGAGGTCCGTCAGGAGTTCGAGACTAGCCCGTCTCGATGAAACCCATGGTGAAACCCCGTCTCTACTAAAAATACAAAAATCAGCCAGACATGGTGGCGTGTGCCTGTAATCCCAGCTATTCAAGAAACTGAGGCAGGAGAATTGCTTGAATCCAGGAGGCAGAGGTTGCAGTGAGCCAAGATCATGCCACTGTACTCCAGCCTGGGCCACAGAATAAGACTGTCTCGAAAGAAAAGAAAAGAAAAGAAAAGAGAAAACAGCAAACGCCTTTATTTGTTCCCAGGCTTCCCTGTACCTGCAGGTTGGGCACGTGACAAGATCTAGCCAATGACACCAAAGGAAGGCTTCTCGGGGTATTTCGGGAACAATGTCCTCCCTGATGAGAGACTTGGGGAGAATCCGAATCCCTGCCCTCTTCCTTCCTGCCTTGGGCCTTGTCCTGTGAGGGTGTGATGTATGGAGCTGCAGCAGCTATTTTGTAATCAGGAGGGGAAGGCCAACAGAATTGTTCAGAAGCCAACCCAAAGGCCTTTTTTTTTTTTTTTTTTGAGACAGAGTCTCACTCTGTCACCCAGGCAGGAGTGCAGTGGCACGATCACAGCTCACTGCAACCTCTGCTTCCCAGGTTCAAGTGATTCTTGTGCCTCATCCTGCCAAGTAGCTGGGATTGCAGGTGTGTGCCACCCATGGCTGGCTAATTTTTATATTTTTAATAGATTCAGGGTTTTGCCATGTTGGCCAGGCTGGTCTTGAACTCTTGACCTCATGTGATCCACCTGCCTTGGCCTCCCAAAGTGTTGGGATTACAGCATGAGCCACTGTACCCAGCCCCAAAAACCTTTTGAGTCACTGAATCAACTCTGGAACCTTGGGATTTCTCATCAAGTGAAAAAAACAAACCTCCTGCTGTTTAAATCTCTCTTAGTACTATGTTCTATTACTTGTAGCCTGACTGCTAGGCATAGTGGCTCGAACCTGTAATCTCAGCTACTCAGGAAGCTGAGATGGGAGGATTGATTGAGGCCAGCCTGGGCAGCATAGTTTGACCCTATCCCTAGAAGAACAAAAAGTTAGCCAGGCATGGTGGCATGCGTCTGTAGTCCCAGCTACTCAGAAGGCTGGGGTGGGGGAAGACTGCTTGGGCCCAGGAGTTTGAGGTTACAGTGAGCTATGACTGTACCACTGTACTCCAGCCTGGGTGACTGAGTGAGACCCCATCTCTAAAAAACAAAAACGACAAAACCAAAAAGTCAAAAAAATATCCTGAGTGGTAGGAGTAAGTGTGGTATTATCTTCATTTTCTGGATGAAGAAACTAGGGCAAAGAAAGTAACTCACAGAGTTAGCAAGCAACCACTGCCATTTATTGAGTGCTTACTATGTGTTAGGCACTGAGATGTGTGCTTTGTCTACATCATCTGTTGATTGATTGATTGATTGATTGATTGATTGATTGAGACAGAGTCTTGCTCTGTCGCCCAGGCGGGAGTGCAGTGGCATGATCTTAGCTCATTGCAACCTCTGCCTCCCGGGTTCAAGCAATTCTCCTGCTTCAGCCTCCCGAGTAGCTGGGACCACAGGTGTGCACCACCATGCCTGGCTAATTTTTGTATTTTTAGTAGAGATGGGGTTTCACCATGTTGACCAGGCTGGTCTCAAACTCCTGAGCGCAGACAATCCACCTGCCTAGGCCTCCCAAAGTGCGGGGATTACACGTGTGAGCCACCGCGCCTGACTACATCATCTCATTTAATTCCTGCAATCACCTTGCAGCATGGGTATCATTAGCCCCATTCTACGGATAAATAAACTGAGGCTTAGGGAAGTTAAATAAACTGCTCGAGGTCACATGCGACTGGAATGTGGCAGAGTTAGGATTTGAACCCAGATCTGAGTCCAGAGCCTATGGACCATCTGCTTGCTCACAAAGCCAGCATGAACCTACCTCTTCTTTTCACAAACCTTTACCAGGTATCTTTGCTATACTGAACTGTGTGCAAGGCACTGGGAACTCTGAGATGAACAAGGTAGCTCCTGCCCTCCAAGAGCTCAGACTGGAGGGGTAGCAGGTATGGAGAGTTCCTACACAGTGTGATGGTTGCAGAGATGGGTCCCTGGGCACACAGGTGGAACAATGCCCTGGTCTGGAGGACAGATAAGGGAAGGCGTCCTGGAGGTGACCCCCAAGGAGTTAAGTATGTTCAACTGTTTAGTCCAGTGGAGAGACAAAGACAGAAAAACAAAAACCCCAAACAGCTAAGACCCAAGGCATAAGCGAACTTTACTCATGCGGGACCACTGAGTGTAGGTGGGGGCCATGTCTTGAAAACACTGCAGATGCAAGAGTTTCTCACCATCTCCTGGCCCCAATCTTGTGCTCCCTGTCCTAGTAACAGTATCTCTGTGCGCCTACACTCTCTTCCCCCTCTGAACCTTTGGAGCCCTAGTGAACTCCTGCCTGTGCCTCACCCGCCACACTCAACCTCTTCCCAAGTCAACTCCACTCTCCCTGAGAAAAGTCTGTCCCATCGGTGTCCTCTCTCCACCACTCAGTCATTGTCCTGGTTCCCCTGGACGACTCCGCTGGCCTCCTATCTGGCCCCCTCCTGCCTCCATACTCTCTCCTCTAGAATTTTTTAAGGTCAAAGCCCATGCTCTTAACAGTTCTGCTATTCTGACTCCAAATACGTGATTTAAACACACACATGGGGCCGGGCGCGGTGGCTCAAGCCTGTAATCCCAACACTTTGGGAGGCCGAAACGGGCGGATCATGAGGTCAGGAGATCGAGACCTGGTTAACACAGTGAAACCCCGTCTCTACTAAAAGATACAAAAAACTAGCCGGGCGAGGTGGCGGGTGCCTGTAGTCCCAGCTACTCGGGAGGCTGAGGCAGGAGAATGGCGTAAACCCGGGAGGCGGAGCTTGCAGTGAGCTGAGATCCGGCCACTGTACTTCAGCCTGGGCGACAGAGCAAGACTCCGTCTCAAAAAAATAAATAAATAAATAAATAAATAAATAAAATAAACACACACATGGGAGACACTGTCAATGATAGAGATGAAATATAACAGTGTCATTCTTTTGCTCCCACGACCCCCTGTTTAAACCCATTATAGCACTCACTCATCTGTATCTGTCTGCTGTTACAATCAGCCACCTGGGCACCCCCACCTGGATGTAAGCACCTTGAGGTGGGCCTCCTTTATCTTTGTTTCCTCCACAGGGCCATGTGCTACACCCAGTACATGGTAGGGGCTCAACAAATGCATGTTTCATGAATGAATAAATATTAATATCTTATCCTTTCCTGGACGGTGTCCTACTTGATTGGGGGATGGTATCTGTCTCATTCACATTTACCCTCCATGTACTTCAAATCATACCTGGCATACAGTAGGTGCTCAAAAAATACTTGGTGAATGTATAAATGAGTGAATAACCAAACAAGGGGATGTCTTATCCCCCTACCAGATTGTGAGTTCCTTAGAGCAGCAGTCCCCAACCTTTTTGCCACCAGGGACTGGTTTCAGGGAAGATGATTTTTCCAGGGACCCGGCACGGGTAGGGTTCAGGATGAAACTGTTCCACCGCAGATCATCAGGCGTTAGTTAGATTCTTATAAGGAGCATGCAACCTAGATCCCTTGCACGCGCAGTTCACGATAGGGTTTGAGCTTCTATGAGAATCTAATGCTGCCACAACTCAACCTCTCTGCGCTTAGATTTCTTCATCTACAGATGGGACCATACAGTATGTACCTGGAAGAGCTTTGTGAGTAGCAAAGGACACAGCCCATGTGGCTTAGTATTGATAAAATGCTTAGAACAGGAGGCAGAGGTCAGGCAGTCATTCCTGCTCGCCCACTGCTCACCTCCTGCTGTGCGGCCAGGTTCCTAAGAGGCTACAGACCAGTACTGGTCCGCGGCCTGGCGGTTAGAGACCCCTGCCTTAGAGGCAAGGACAATGACTTGCCCCTCTCTGCATTGCCTCATGGTGCCTGGCAGGCTGTTTGGCTGTCCGTAATCGTTCCCCTGAAGAAGCATGACCTTCCCTCTGTGAGACAGAAGAACTCACCTGTGTTCGGGTTCAGGAAATAGCTGGGACAGGGAGATGCCACAGAGGGCAGCATAGGCGAAGCGGTTGGCCTCAGTCAGCTCCCGGCCCATGGGTAGGTGTGGCTCCCCCTCTGCAGTGGGTTCAGCTACCAGAGGCCGCTGAGGCAGCTTCTGGCATGGCCTGTTCCACGTGGCCATTCCCAGCCCTGCAGGAGAAAATTCCCAGTGAGAAATGCTTCCAGAGGTAAGCCAAGGTTACTTAAGCACGACACAGAACTTACAAACCATAAAAGGCTGATAAAGTAGGCATCATCACAATGAAGAACTTCTTTTCATCACCTTTAGGAGAGTGAAAACACACATTACAGACCGGGATGGAGGGAGGGATCTTCAATATGTGTATCCACAAAGGTCTATACACGGTATCCAAACAACTAACTCCAATAAGCCATTAAGAAAAAGAAATGAAGCAAATTTAAAAATGGGCAAAAGACTTGAATAGATACTTCATAAAAGATATTCTGCAGTGAGCCGAGATCGCGCCACTGCACTCCAGCCTGGGTGACAGAGCAAGACTCCATCTCAAAAAAAAAAAAAAAAGATATTTCTTAGGCCAGGTATGGTGGCTCATGCCTCTAATCCCAGCACTTTTGGAAGCTGAGGTAGAAGGATTGATTGAGCCCAGGAGTTCAAGACTAGCCGAGACAACATAGTGAGACTCCATCTCTACAGAAAAATAAAATAAAAGAATTAGCTGGGCATGGTGGCACATGCCTGTAGTTCCAGCTACTTAGGAGGCTAAGGTGAGAGGATCGCTTGAGCCTAGGATTCGAGGCTGCAATGAGCTATGATCATTGCACTCCAGCCTGGGCTACAGAATGAAACCCTGTCTCTTAAAAAAAAAAAAAACAAAAAAATCCCAATCGCCAATAAGTATGAAAAGATGTTCAACATAATTAGTCATCAGAGAAATGGAAAATAAAATCCCAATGAGACACTACCACTCACCTGTCAGAACAGCTAAAACTAAGAAGCCTGAGAATACCAAGTGCTGGTGAGGATGAAGAACAAACAGAAATTTCTTTTCTTTTTTTTTTTTTCTTTGAGACGGAGTCTCGCTTGTCGCCCAGGCTGGAGTGCAGTGGCACGATCTCGGCTCACTGCAAGCTCCGCCTCCCGGGTTCACGCCATTATCCTGCCTCAGCTTCCTGAGTAGCTGGGACTACACGCGCCCGCCACTGCGCCCAGCAAATTTTTTGTATTTTTAGTAGAGACGGCGTTTCACTGTGTTAGCCAGGATGGTCTCGATCTCCTGAAGTCGTGATCCGCCTGCCTCGGCCTCCCAAAGTGCTGGGATTACAGGCGTGAGCCACCGTGCTTGGCCACAAACAGAACTTTCATACATTGCTGGTGGGATTGTACATTGGTACAACTATTTGAAAATGGTATGACAATATCCCCTAAAGCTCTAACATACATCTTCCCTATGCTCTGGCAATTCCACTCCTAAGAAATGAGGACTTACATCACCAAAAGACACATACATGAATGCTCACAGCAACTTCACTCACAATAGTCCCAAACTGGCAACAACCTACATGACTATCACAGTAGAATGGATAAATGGTCATATTCACACTGTGAAACATTACACAACAATGAAAAAGGAATGAACTACAGCAAACATGAGTGAATCTCAGACAAAATGATACACAGAAAGCCATTCACGAGAGAGCACCTACCATGGGATTCCCTTCACATGAAACTGAAGAATGGTAAACCCAACATATGGTGATGGAAGTCAGATGAGGGGTTACATGTGGGAGGGAGTATTGGCTCAGAATGGGTGCAAAGGAGGTTTCTGGGTGGAGGAAATGATCTCTATGTTGACCTGGGTGGTCGTTACATGGGTATAAATATATTTGAAACTTCCCTGATCCGTATAGTTAAGATTTATGCACTTTGTGTACGGCATACCTCAAACGAAGGAAGGAAGAAGGAAAAAAGGGAGGAAGGTCTCCTCTTTGTTCTCCCTCCTTCTTTTCCTTCCCTCCATTCTTTCCTTCCTTCCCAGGGGCAGAAGGGAAAGGGAAGAGAAGAGTAGGAAGAGGAGGGAGGGGACATGCCACGAAGGCATCTGAGAAGGAGAAAGAACACTGGGAGCCACCAGGAAGGGTACAGGGAAGGGTACCAGCCTCTACTGTAGGGGATCAAGGATATGAACGCAGGCTCAGGACCAGACAGACGTGGATGTGGAAACAAGCACTGCCACTTAGCAGATGTGGGACCCTGGGCAACTCAACCTCTCTGTACTTAGATTTCTTCACCTACAGATGGAACCATACGGTATCTACCTAGAAAAGATGTGTCAGTAGTAAAGGACACAGCCCTGTGGCTTAGTATTCGTGAAGTGCTTAGAATGGAGTCTGGCAGAGGGTTCGTGCTATATAAATGCTTGGTTAAAAAATAAATGCACAAAATGATCAACAAACAAGTAAAAACCTTGGCATGGTGCCTGGCACACAGCAAAGGTTTAATACTAACAAGACCTAACATTACTGAGTTATTACTGGGTGCAGGGCACTGGGGTTGCAATTTTAACATGCATTGTCTCAGCAGACTCTATGAGGCAGGTAGGACTGTAATGTTCAGTCTGCAAATTAGGAAACAGGCTCAGAGAAGTAACTGGGCTCCCCTCACACAGCCAGTCAATGGCAGACAGATAGGGCCCAAAGATAGAACTGTTGGCCACCAACTCTGTTTTAAATATTCATCACATGGCCAGGAGCCTTCTAGCTCAATAACCACACTCCATACTGTTCTTGGTTCATAAGTTTGTTCCCATCTAGCTGAGCAACAAAAATTTTTGTTCTCAAAATATTACTTCTGTAGAGGAGTTATTTAAAAGTCTGTCTACAATTAATATTTCATTTATTTTCAAAACAACCCTGAGGTAGTTAAAAGCAACAAACCAACACTTTTACAGCACATAACTGTTTGCAAAGCATTTTCCAATCCGCTTAATTCTTACAACTACCATGTAAAGTTAAGTTGGACATGAACCATTATGATTTCCTCTTACGACCAAGGAACAGGCTTAAAATGATCAAGCAATTTCCCCAAAGTTACACAGTAACTGATGAGATCCAAACCAGACTTTTGACTCCAAACCTTGAGCTCTTTCCTCTACACCAGCACAGGAATCTTCTTTCCCCTATTTCAGATGGAGAAACGAAGGCCCAGAGAGGTTAAGACCTTGCCGAAAGTCACCCAGCAAGACTGGCCTCAACGGTTGCTCCAGGAACCCACATTTGAGATTCGCAGAAAATTTCCCTGGCTCAGAGGGTCAGCTCAGACCATGGCGGTGGAGACAGGGGGAACAGCATAAACCATGAACTGAGGGCAGTGCCAAGGGCAGCACTAGCCTGATGTCAGCAGGTCAACAATTTCCACTATATTTAATCAACTCCATGTGCCACTTGGAGGCTGTATTGATTGTACCTATTACTCAGAGGAGCCTAAGGTAGTATTTTACTAGACTGGTATCTGGGGAGCCCCACGCCAGTTCTTAGCTCAATAATAAACAGCTTTCTGATAAGAGAAGGGTGAGCTGGCCTACTTCTAACCACAGAGGTATGAGGATGTGTCTAGCGTACAAAAGGCTAAGCTCAGGCTGGGCGCGGCGGTAGCTCGCGTCTATAATCCCAGCACTTTGGGAGGCCGAGGTGGGTGGATCACTTGAGGTCAGGAGTCTGAGACCAGCCTGGCCAACACAGTGAAACCCCATCTCTACTAAAAGTACAAAAATTAGTGGCTGGGTGCAGTGGCTCACGCCTGTAATCCCAGTACTTTGGGAGGCCGAGGCGGGTGGATCATGAGGTCAGGAGATCGAGACCATCCTCGCTAAAATGGTGAAACCCCGTCTCTACCAAAAATACAAAAAATTAGCCGGGCGTGGTGGCGGGCGCCTGTAGTCCCAGCTACTCCTGGAGGCTGAGGCAGGAGAATGGCATGAACCCGGGAGGCGGAGCTTGCAGTGAGCCGAGATCGCGCCACTGCACTCCAGCCTGGACGATGAGCGAGATTCCGTCTCAAAGAAAAAAAAAAAAAAATTAGCTGGGCATGGTGGGGTGTGCCTATAATCCCAGCTACTCAGGAGGCTGAGGCAGGAGAATCACCTAAATCTGGGAGGCAGAGGTTGCAGTGAGCTGAGATTGTGCCACTGCACTCCAGTCTGGGCAACAGAGCAAGACTCCATCTAACAAAATAATAATAATAAAGCTAAACTCTGACCAAATTCATTCATTCATTCAACACAATTTCTCCTGATGCCCTACAATGCATTCTCTACATAGTGGCCTCAGTGACCTTTTTGCCACATGGACCAATCATGTCACTAGGTTGCTTAAAAGCCTGCAAAGGCCTCCCATTACATCAGGATAAATCCCAGTCCTGGTATGATGGCCTAAGAGGGGTGTCCAATCTTTCAGCTTTCCTGGGCCACACTGGAAGAAGAATTGGTTTGGGCCACACATAAAATACACTAACACTAATGATAGCTGATGAGCTAAAAAAAAAAAAAAAATCGCAAGAAAACCTCATAATGTTTTAAGAAAGTTTACGAATTTGTGTTGGGCCGCATTCAAAGCTGTCCTGGGCTGTACGCAGCCCACAGGCCGAAGATTGGACAAGCTTAAAAGTCCTGTGCAATCCAGTTGCTGCCTGCCACTAAACTCCATCTCATGTCCTCACACCGGTCTCGTTCACTACGCTACAGCCACACTGGCTGTCTTTCTGCTCGTCCCCTCCAGGCCCTTGCACCTGCCACTCTCCCCGCCAGGAACACCCTTCCCTGACCATCACATCATCTGGCCTCAGCCCAGACGTCACCACCTCTGAGAGACCTTCCCTGACCACCCAGGCTACAGTATTAGGTTGGTGCAAAAGTAACTGTGGTTTTTTGCAATTTAATAGCAAGACCCACAGTTACTTTTGCACCAACCTAATATCTCTGTCTTCTATCCCAGTACCCTCTTCTATTTTTATCATACTCATTCTTATCTAAAATAATGTTTTCTTAAAAAAATTATTTCTTTACCTGTGTATACAAATAGTACAGAAGTTTCTTAAGGCAGTTCCCTAGTTGTTTTTTTACTGCCACACCCCTAGCTTTCTGGACAGGCCCTGGATCACTGTAGGCATTCAGGAAATACTTGCTGGATGAATGAAGAGGGGGCTAGGATGTGGGAAGCCCTGTTCTGGGCCTTAGGGCAGATCAGAGGATGAAACTGACAAGTTCCCTGCTCTTAAGGGGCTGACATTCTGGTGGGAGACAGGCAATAATATGCCAATACATAATGACAAAGCGACCTAAGTTGGTCAAGGTCACAGAGCTAATAAGCGGTAGAACCAAGACACACACTCAGGAGGTCTGGCTGCAGAATCCATGCCCTCAGCAGCCCACTCAACACATAGGTAAACATTCCTTCAGGAAGTGGTCAGGGGAGGAACAGTTAGGCAGGGTGAGGGGATATGAAGTGATGGGGTGAAGTGGGGTTGGCTAATATACGTGGATGAAAGGTGTCATTCCAGCAGAGGCCTGCCGAAGTCACAGGATGGGTGGAGAGGTATTCCTTAGAGGAAACAGTATGGTGGTAGAGACAGACAAATACACAGACAATGGTGGCTGGACACAGTGGCTCACGCCTGTAATCCCAGAGCTTTCGGAGGCTGAGGCAGAAGGACTGGAGGAGCCTGGGCAACAAAGCGAGACTCTGTCTCTACAAAAACAATAATAATTTAAAAATTAGCCAGGCATGGTGGAGCATGCCTGTGGCCCCAGCTACTCAAGAGGTTGAGGCAGGAGGATCGCTTAAGTCCAGGAGTCTGAGGAAGTTGAGGCTGCAGTGAGCCGTGATCACACTATTGCACTCCAGCCTGGTAACAAAGCAAGACCCTATCTCTCAAAGAAAAACAAACCAAAACAAACAGAAAAAACAGACAGTGACAATCCGTGTGATAAACACCGTGACAGGGGAAACATGAGAGACAGAGGGATCCCAAGACGGGGACCCTGAACCCAGCACTGGCTCCCTGGAGAAGGTGATGGTAAAGCTGAGACCTGAACAAGGAGTGAATCAGACAGGGGTGGGGTGGGCACATCTTTGACAAAGGGAAAAGCATGTGGCAAGACCCAGAGGTAGAGGAGAAATGCTTTTGACGAACAAAAAGATGTTTGGTGCAGCCAGGGCTTGGACAATGGGTGGGCGTGAAGAAATGAGGTGGGAGTGGAAGCTGCCAAGGGCTGCCGCAGGCAGGGCCAAGTTCGTCTCACTAATTAGGCTTCCTTGTAAAGGCAACGGCCATGCGGGAGGCTGAATGAGGGTGCATGGAACCTCTCGGTACTATATTTGCAACTTGCCGCGAGCCTATAATTATTTTAAAATAAAAAGTTTTTAAAAAAGTAGTGGAACATCTCTATAGAATTTTAAAAACCTTTTCTTGAGGCAAAAGTAAATTATCAATGAATATTGACCTCTTAAGGGGTTAATGAATCTAATAAACATGTATTAGCCCTACTACAGTGGTGACTAAGCCAGGCACATAAAGACCCCCCATTGGGGAGATTATATTCTAGAGAGGGAGACAGAAAATGTAAACTCAGAAAGAAGACCATTTTAAATAATAACAAGGGGCTTCTGAAGGAAAAGAAACCTTCAGTACTTACCCAGATTTCAAGAAACAGCCGTGGGCCTCTCTCTGTTTGAAGACGGGCTGCTCAGGTTCTGGATGGTTCTTCGGAGAAATATGCAAATTGCCCTGTGGGAGCAAACCAGAAAAACCAGCCGGTGGGTCCACAGAGTATGGGATCTGGGGAAGGCTACAGCAGAGGGAGCTGGCTGGTGCGCTAAAGCTCAGGGGAGCCTGGCACTGCACCGTCGCTCCTCTGGGCCCTTGCCCTGCACATTCCTCAATGTGCGATGCTCTTCTCAGCAGAGTAGTAAGGCAGGCAGCTACCACTGCTGAGCACTCACCACATGCCCCACACAGCCCTGCCACTTTCCATGGATGGTCTCATTGAATGTCCTTGTTCAACTCCTTGTACCTTGAGCTGTGGTCACTGCATCCAGCTCCTGGGCAGACACCGTGTCGCCTCCAAATCTGTACCTGGTGCCTAACCACAGAGTGTGTGCTCAGAAAATGCCAGTTATATGAACTGAGGAATGAATTAGCTTTTAGGCTTAAGCAAGAGCTAGATTTTCCTATTTTTCTCCCTAAAGGCACTCCCGTTCTCACACACCAATGGAGCATCAGATGGGGAAGGGAGGTGGACGAAGGGCCAAGCATCTGGAATTACCCAAAGGAAGTCTTAGGACCCAAAATCTGGGTCCCCCAAAATTTCAAATAATTTGAGCTTCATCCTTAGTGCCATTTTCTTTTTCTTTTTTTCTTTTTTTTTTTTTTTTTGAGATAGAGTTTGGCTGTGTCGCCTAGGCTGGAGTGCAGTGGTGCCATCTCGGCTCACTGCAACCTCTGCCTCCTGGGTTCAAGTGATTCTTGTGCCTCAGCCTCCTGAGTAGCTGGAATCACAGGCGTGCACCACCATGCCTGGCTAATTTTTCATATTTTCAGTAGAGACGGGGTTTTGCCATGTTGCCCAGGCTGGTCTTGAACTCCTGAGCTCAGGCAATCTGCCCGCCTCAGCCTCCCAAAGTGCTAGGATTACAGGCGTGAGCCACTGCACCCAGTCCTTAGTGCCATTTTCAATGTCAGTGAAAATAATATTTTTTACTTTTTTAAGCCTCAGTGGGGTTTGTATTAAGTTATCAGTGGGAATGCCCTTCTCCTAGAGGTTGCCTTCTTTCCTGGCATGAGAATGAACCTGTACTGTGCCTAAAAACTGAATATTCACACTATGAGTCCAATCATGTTAAAACAATGGGGAGGAGAAAAATGACTGGAAGAACATCCTCCAAAATTATCTCTGAATTGCCATTCAGAGATACCAGAGACTTTTCTGTATTTCCCCTAAATTTTCTGCCATAAATTTGCATTGCTTTTGAACTCTCTAGAAAGCTATTTTGTGCAGGTCTCTATCCGTAGAGAGGATACTGTTTGGACATGCACCAAGATGCCGGCAGTGGCTAACTCCAGGTAGGCAGAGACCCGGATTGGATTCTGGATGATTTTAATTTTTTCTTTATATATCTGTGTTTTATGAATTATTAACAATAAGTGTTGATTTTGAGATCGGAAAAAAAATAATTTAAAATTACAACATGCTGCACTGGTGCCAGTTCATACCAGTGGTGACAATCAGTTCTGTGCGTCTCCATCCAACCCTGTGTCCGGTGACGTTGGCATGTTGGGAATATTTACATCACAGAAATCGGCAAATGCTACATATCCGGGATAATTTTGTTCTAGAGAGATGGTAGACCAGAATTCGACTGAATATACAATATGACTCTAGTTCTGTTTTTAAAACATGTTTCGGCTGGGTGCGGTGGCTCATGCCTGGAATCCCAGCACTTTGGGAGGC